TTGTGTGTCAACACTAGTGATGATATAAAATTGTGTATTACAAGTGTTGCACAAAATGTAACAAATAATTTTGCAATTAAAAACATTGAATATTACACTTTGAAACAGTTCATTTTTCAAGGTTAACAATGAAAATTGCCCCAAAAATTACAGATTAGCCCGGACCAATGTGGGAAGCTAAGAACTCTATGATCAACTCTTCTGTGGAATCAGACAAGGCCAGATTTATTCATTCATATTAACTGTGAGAAACAATGGCTTATTTTTCTGGTGTTTTTTTATTTATGAACTAAATCGTAGTATGATTTTATCAAGGGTGGTAATTGTATAGCACTTTTAAAAAAATAAAATAAAAATTAAATACACCCTATTTAATTACATTGAAGATCATTAACCTTTATTCATTATTACATTTTTATTCTTAACTTTTATCTTCATTACATTCTTATTGAACATTTTATTAGTCAAAAAATATTATCATTAATCATGATTTTCATCCAAAAATATTGTTAACGTGATTTAAAATAAGTATCAAATATTTTAATCTCAATTATTATTATTATTATTATTATTATTATTATTATTATTATTATTATTTAAAAATATAATGAACAAATGAGTTTTTTAACTCTATTTTAAAGAAAATTTTACCCTTCAGCAATCAGCCATTTATTAATGGTAAGCTAATTTTTGCTGCCTGAATGTTCTGAATGGTCCCTGAGTATTCAGGATCTTGCATATTGACACATAAACTTTCTATCTATTGCAAACCAGTCCTTGAACATTTTAATTGGTTCAATATTGATCCCGATACTTTTTGGAGTTGCAGAAAGGTTGCTGAAGTTATATATTTGTCCAATACGGTCCTCGAGTTTTTTTTAAAGCTCCATATCATTCCCCAAATTTTTGAGTGGTTCAACGGTGGCCCTTTTTTTTTTTTTGCCCTTTTCTGATTGCCACAATTCCATCCTACATTTTCCATATTGAAGCAAAAATCTTGGGCTATCATTTTCTTTAAAAAAATATATTTTCCATCCCATCATTTATTATGATTCTTCTTTAAAATTGCAAAATTTTAAAGAAAATTTTACCCTTAAGTAATCAGCCATGTGTTATTCGTAAGCTAATTTTGCCCCCTGAATTTTCTGAATTCTCTAAGTATTCAGGATCCTGCTTATTGGTCCATAAACTTTCTATCTATTGCAAAACGGTCCCTAAACTTTTTACTTGGTTCAGTATCGGTCCCTATACTTTTGAGAATTGCAAAAAGGTCCCTGAAGTTATATATTTGTTCGATATGGTGCTCGAGTTTTTTATTTTATTTTTTATTTTTAAAGCTCCAAATCATTCCCCAAAATTTTGTGTGGTTCAAAGTGGCCCTTTACAGTTTCCATATTGAAGCAAATTAATCCTTGGACTGTCATTTTCCTTTAAAAATAAAAATGCATTTTCCATCCCATCATTTAATTATAATTCTTTCTGAAATCGGAATTTCTTTTGTAAGATAGAATAAAATATATTATGTGTTACTAATTTTGAGGATACCTTATTAATAACATCATTAAGATAAAAATAAATTTATTTAAGCAGTAAAATTGTAAAAAATGCATATGGGGTACCATTATTTTACAATTTAATTTTTAAACGCAAGTATAATTCAATTTCCTTTTATAAAATAAGAATATGGCATAATTTTTCATTAATAATTTGGGATCCAGGAAAGGTCGCCCGACCCACTAAATCACAGCTCAAATGGGCAGTGCTATTTATGTCAATATCTCTTCATTATGTGGTGGGCATTTTATATGGGCACCAATAGTTTTGATTCGACCGACTCAGCTTCGTTCCTCTGAACTTCGAGTCGATTTTTGGAAGCTAGAACTGAATAATCAGTTTACCTGATTTTTATTTTTATTATTATTTTTGAAAAAAAAATAATGAATTGTGCACCGTTTATCTGGCTAATTAGGTCATAATATTGTAAAATGGACATGGAACCAACGAGCTTCATATAAAATCCATGTCTAAATTAAGGGGTGTTTGATTGCAAACATAAAATTTACATGAAAATAAAATAAATTCTAAACAATTCATTTGTATAAAAATTATTAATTAAATGTTTTATTAATTTAGTTTTCAACCTAAAAAATATTATACTTTTTTATTTTTTATTGATGAGTAGATGAGAGAGATGGAATAGATGAGAGAAGAAAGAGAGAGCAACTTACCTGAAAAATAAAATTCATCCCTCCATAAATAAATAAAAACAATCCTTCTTTTTAGGAAAATATAATCATATGACTAAAGGTAGGAAAATAGTTTTCAGGTAGGAAAATATTTTTCATAAAAAAATTTATCAACGAAACACTTCAAAAGTAAAAAAATTTGGTAGAAAAATGACATTTTTCATGGAAAACAAAAACAATCAAATATACTCTTATATTCAATTCTTAAAATACTAGGATCATAACATTCGATACCCACTACTAATTACATTTCGGCAACCCTATTTCACGCATGTTTGGGAGTGCTTATATTGTTGGGTTTGTAATCCAAATTATGATGGATTTTTTTGGAAATAAATTGATTCCTTATTCTCATGTGGGAAAATTTATTTCCTTATTTTTCACGTGATTTTTATGAAATTATATTATTTCTTTATTCCACATTATTTACATTTTTATGTTATGTCATGTACCTATAAATAGTGAACTTCTCTTTCAATTTTGTTTAAGCAAGAATTGCCGAATTTTTCTATTTCTCTCCATATTGTTGATTAATAAAACGTCATGCTTCTGCAATTAACTCTTTTTGTTAATTTCTTTACTCATAATCTTATTTTTCATTGCGATCTTCATTACTTCATATCACGTCATTAATCTCATTACTACAATCCTTTCGTGTCCAACATATATTATCTCATAAGCACTTGGACTCGTTACTTTTTGTGAACCAAATGTCAATTATTTTTGAATGCAAACATAGGTGACAGCTGAGAAATGTACTAAATAATACGGACACAGACACGTCGACAATATTCTTCCATCAAGTCGTCAGGATAATTATGAAAACTAAAATTTTTGTTATTTATTTATTTATTTATTTTTTGTCATTTGGCTTCTTTTTTTCTTTTTTAAAATATAATTTAGGTAAATTTTAATGAGAATGTTTCTAACAATAAGTTATAATAATATTGAGTGAGTGTAATCTATAAGATATTAAATTACGATCGAATGTATTACTATTAACGCATTTCCCATTGTTAGGATATTGCTCCATTAGTCGGTACATTTCAAAAAGTCACGACAACACAAGTTCATTATCCCAAACTCTCTTGTTAATATTTCTTGCTCGATACTTAATCTCACTTATCCAAACAATCCAAATCTTCATCAAGATGTCAATTAACCATACTTCATCGTGTATTGTACTTTGATCATCAACCTTAGAAAAGAAAAGTACACATACGCTTCCAGCGTCAACTAGGGGTGTAAGCGGTCCGATTTACCGATTTTTGACAAATTTTCAAATCAAACCGTTTAAAACGGTTTGAGAAAAATTCAAATCTAAACCAAACCATTTTGAACGGTTTGAAAAAAAATTCAAACCTAAACCTAACTGTTTTGTCTGATTTTAAACCGTCGATTTCGCCATATAATTTTTTGTTCGTTTACTTTTATGTCATTAATTCATTGAATTTAATATATATTTATATCTCACTAGTAATAAATGTAAAACAAACTAAGCTCCTCTTTGAACCAAATTTTCGGAACAAAAAAATAAAAATTTGGATCGTTATTCCACAAGTCCAGTCGCCTTTGTTGACCTGCTATTCATGTGTGGGACCCAACCTCTTCTTCAATAGTCTATTTTTTCATTATGATAATATGAAAAATATGGTTCAAACAGAGGCTAAATATATCTACTATAAATTTAAATATTAACTAAATCAAAGTAAAATCACAATAAATTAAAACATGGTTTTTTTTTTCATTTTTGTTCACCTTTTTTAAGTTAATGACGATACAATAACGTTACAATACAAGTCTACTGAACTAGATATAAGGTTCAAAAAACATAATGATATCCAACAAGACTTTGTGATCATCATATCTGAAAAAAATATATTGATTAAACAAAGAGAATAACCAACTACAATAATAAAGCAATTGTTTATAATATCTAAACATAACAATTACACAAGTTTACGTTTGTATGATGTTACGAAACACATTTAATTTCAGATTCTTACCTTAGTTTGCTCCAAAAAATTATTGATCTGAAACTTTATTTGAAGCAAATATTATCACCGAAAGTCTAGAATCTCTTTGTCTCCGATTTGGTATAATGGACTTCAATTCAACTTTGAAAATGCGTGAAAAATCTGAAAAGAAGTGTGTGGTGCCGGTGGCTCAAAACTGTGTTGGGTGTCGACTGAAATTCATCTAAATTTTGAAAAGGAAAAAGACTTTTGATAGATTATGTTAGTCTTAAAATTATTAAATATATATTAGGATTATTGAATAATAATAATAATAATATATCAATATTAGAAAATTAGGAATTGACAAAAATATTAACAAATGACAAAACTATTGAATTTTACATATTTGGATGAATTTTCAAAAAATTTCATTTTTTTATTTTTATGTATTTTTTCGCCAGTCCGGTTTGATTTTAAACCGCAATTAAAATTTTCAAACCTAAACCAAACCATTTTGACCGATTTGGTTTGGGTCAAAACCATTTCGTTGACCTGGTCCACGTGACACCAAACCCACGATTTCTAAAATGCGATTTCGATTCGATTTTTAAATTTTGCGATTTTTGCTTACAGCTCTAACGTCAACATTCTATTTTTGCAGCACTTGAGTTCCGGTTGCCTAACAAATTTATAAAGACGATTTTACCCTTATCGTACATTTTTTTTTTGGATAAATAAAGCTCTAAATTCAAATAACAACAAGCACAACGTAGCAAGCCGGCAGTGTATACCAGCCTGGGCCACCTGCATCCCCACTAGCATTCACCATATTCAATACACCCTTTTATATCTCTCTCTTACCCTTTTGTATCTCACCCTCACTCTTTTATATCTCTCTCTCTCACATTGACACACAGAACACACAGTTACTCTCTCACTCATCTCATCTTCTATTTCCTTACAATCCTCTATTTCTCAGCATTTTCTTTCTCAACATTGTGTGTAATCCCTTTTCTCATGGCTAGATTTTTGGTTCTGGTTCTGGTTCTGGTTCTCATTTTAGCCATGGCTGCTCATTCAAGTAAGCATTTTACAACTACAATTTCTGTCCTTTTTTACTATTTTCTAAGGCTTAAATATGCATAAAATATAATGCATTTAGAGAAAAAATAAATAAATTCATAAGATGTTCTTTTGCGTTTACTAAACTAGTTTCTGAAAAAATTCCATAATACCACGCCAAACAAAATGCGTTACTGCAAAGCATTCTTGATTATCCTCTAATTTATTTCTTAAATTTTCCTGCACATGGGTGGATGTGAATGCAAATGGATCTTTTCATTATCTTCTCTTTTATTTTAACTTTTTTGGGTTGTAGGATCCTCGCATTGTATCTTCAAGAAGTACGAAAAAAGCTTAGCCAACACATGCCCTTATTGTTTAAATTTCTTCTCATTTATTTGTGGGATTTTGGTAGGTGCAACTTGGTGCATTTGCAAGGAGGGACTGAGTGATCAAGCCTTGCAAAAAACACTGGATTATGCATGTGGTGCAGGGGCTGATTGCAACCCCACCCACCAAAATGGACCTTGTTTTAACCCAAATACTGTGAGGGCTCACTGCAACTATGCTGTCAACAGTTATTTCCAAAAGAAAGGCCAGACCCCAACAGCCTGTGATTTTTCAGGCACTGCCTACACAGTCACATCTGATCCCAGTAAGTCTATACAGACCGGAATGGCATGTTTGTTAAGATGGACTTCATAGTGCAGAATATTAAAAGAAAACAAGAGCTAAAATCTCGTTTATTGTACTGATCACCGCGTTTGTGAGAATGTGTGCTAAAGTTTTATTGCCACCGAGTACAGTAGGGTTAGAATCATTGTTGTCTGCCACATTCAATTTACTGGAGATGGATGAAGAGACAAAAAATGAAGATTAGGTGATTAAAGTGAAATTTGGCTGTAAATTTTGTGACTTGGGAGTGTCTTTAACCATAGAAAGTTTTACTACTATTCACTGTCTCTTCTTTGGGTTGATTTACAGGCTCATCTGGCTGTTCTTACCCTGCAAGTGCAAGGTATGATTTACAATAGAGTTACTAGTACGTGATATATATCATATATGTCTATATTATCTTGATAAAAAAATCCAAGAATTTAATTAATTAAAAAGATCATATTAAGGCTCAGTTTGAGTCCCAATATTTTCTCTTTAAAATAAAAAATATAATCGTTATTCATCACATCAAATCATCATATTTGACTTTTTATTTTTTATGTGAGATTCATAATAATTATATTTTTCATTTTTGTTTTTACAATAATGCGACTCAAACAGGGGTTAAGAAATACTACGTTGTCATTTCATGAGAGCCACGCATTAATTTGCTGTTTTTTGTATGGTTAAGAGAGCCTTATGTTGTCTTGGCTCTTGTGGATTTAAAAAATACAACTTTACTCGAGTTCTGGTGCAAGATGGCCCCACTCCAATCTCCATTTCAAATCGACCTTTTTTAATAGGAAAAGTAATTTTCATTTTTATTTTTATTTTTTCAGAAGATGTACTTGTTGCAAGAAAAATGGGATGCCAAGAAATGCTTCATTTGTTTGAACCCTATTATTTTTTCATTAAAACGAAAAATATGATCGTTATCCATCACATTAAGTCATCATATTTAACTTTTTATCTTTTGTGTGAGATCCACAACGATTATATTTTTTATTTTTATTTTTGCAATAATGTGATTCAAACGGGAGCTAAGAAACACGATGTTGTCATTTCATGAGAGCCACGCATTAATTTGCTGTTTTTTGTATGGTTAAGAGAGCCTTATGTTGTCTTGGCTCTTGTGGATTTAAAAAACACAACTTTACTCGAGTTCTGCTGCAAGATGGCCCCACTCAGATCTCCATTTCAAATCTACCTTTTTAATAGGAAAAGTAATTTTCATTTTTATTTTTTCAGAAGATGTGTACTTGTTGCAAGAAAAATGGGATGCCAAGAAATGCTTCATTTATTAATATTTTTTACTAAAATTTTCTATCAAAACTTTACATCGCATAAACTCCAAATTTATCGTTGTACTAATATCAAGTAGGTGCTAATTGCTCCCTACAGTGAGTGGACATTGCTTACGTGCCAACTTTAAATTGTTCTATTTTAGTATTGTCAACGTGATCAATGTTCGGTACTACTACGTGCTAGACATGCACTTTGTGGATTTAGTTGTGTATAATTTTCAACGGATCAACACTTTGTTTGGGGATTGAAGCTATTTCATTATGTATTGGTGTCGAATATTAGATTCCGTTTCGAAAAGATCTTTAATCGTTCATATTTTGTCTGTAATGGGATGAGAATCGATAAAGCAAACCTATTCTTGATGTGGCTAACTTTGTCAAGCATTGCAGTCTCATCCTTTTGATTTGCTATCATATTCCTTTGCCTTTATCATTTTAGTAACACATTTGGGAAATGCATCAGCATCTTATTGATGAATGTTAAGGGCACTCATTCAATCCTTTGACTAGATTGTAAACGAATCAAGTTTGTACAACCCAGTTTCGAGTTGGCTTGACACACCCGTTTTTTACAGTCATTCTACGTATCGAGCCTATGGGCTCCTACACTGTCATTCTACAGAGTCTTTTTTGGCCTAAAATAATGTTTGGCAAAGCTTTAGGACTCGCTTTGCATTACTAAATTATTATCCATATTCCATCGCTCCCAAAGCTATAGCACTTAAAGAACTAAGAGCATGTTTGGGTGGCTCGTGCTAAATGTGTGACTTATTTTAAATGTGTTAGTCACTGAGACATGCTCAAGTCTATTGGCAGAATCAAGAGTCCCTACTCTCTTTATTTCAGTTTTTTAATTCTATCCGCTTGCTTTGTTCATGTTATTTATGATGGTGTCCTTTGACTCCGTTGGTCCATTTATTGGCTGTATAATTGCACTACCAACTTGAAACGATAGGGCAATAATTAGCAATAGAAGAATCCAAGGCTTCCATTTGGTTCTTTATTACATTTTTACTGCCTGTAGATGGTAAATAGTTTGGTTTTTCCTGTGCCACTTTGTCAAAAGGATAGATGGACCCAACTTTGTTTACCCCTTTACTCTTTTGCTGTTCAAAGGATTTTTAGGTCAAAAAGTAATGGTGGCTATTTCAAAAATAATGGCCCCTGACAACTGACCTGTCCTTGTGTCCATATTGAAGGAATCAAATCAATCTTGCAGGCACTGGAATTAATGGGTGTAATTTTTGAGAAGCCCATTTCAAATCCTTTTGATGCCAGATCCCTTGAGATTTGTGCCGTCTTACATTTTTCTATTTTAAAATCCCATACGTTGTTTTATCATTTCTTTTCCCTCTCCATCCTAACTAACCATATCTAAAGGTGTTCAAATGTGTCCTGGCCAAGGCCATGACCGGACCGGGGCAGCATGAGGCAGCCTATTATATGTAGAAGAGACACAGATGTAGAGACTTTTATAAGAAGACTGTAGGCATGGCTGGCTGGCTGGCTGGCTGTACGTGAGGAGCCAGTCCATGCCCAGAACTCGTATGCATGTCGGGCCTATAAAATTTGTCTGTCAGCCCCAAAACAGCTGGTACGGCCTGAGTTCTCGTTTAACCAGAACCTAGTGCAAATAAGAGACTTATATTGGGGCTATGGACAAAATCAATTCTACAGTCGCATTATATAGGCTAAGTCGTATAGAGTGGCATCAAAAGATTTCATGGGTCGACTTGAAATTTATTGCAAAGGAGAATTAGTTTGTTTTATGATATCCCAAAAGGCTGTTGATGTCTAGTTTAGTAGTTGAACACCGGTGGAAAGGCTAGAGAGGAAATATGCAAATAATTCTGTTTCCTGGCCTGTGTTGAAATATCATAAGTATCTAATCATTTGATTATCAACGTGCGTAACTACTTTCCCAGAATCATTCACCTTAATCTGTCATAACTTTCCTATGTTTTGGTCTGAATCTTTCAAGTAACTCTTGTCATTTACTTGTTTCAGCGGCGCCACCAGGCCGGTATCAACCACAACCAATACACCTTCCACCAGCCTGCCCAGTGGTGGTTCACCTGTTGTGACAACTCCTTCCACTGGCATACTAGGTGGCAGTAGCAACGGCTTAGGCCCCTCAGGCATGAACACTGACATGAGTGATGCTGGGATATTACTACCAAAAAACATCCTCTTACCCTCCATTATCCTCGTGTTCTCGGTACTTGTTTACTGGTGGGCTTAAGAAAGAGGAATGTTTCTTCATGGGAGGTGCAGGCTATTCAAGATCCATATCAGAAAAGTGACGATGTGCAGAAATGAATATGCATGTGATTCTATATTTTAAGATAATCTTAATTTTGTTTTTTTATGTACTTATGGTTTGCAATCTAGTTTGTCTACTAGTCCACATATGCATTATAATAACTGAAGTTCTGTTAATTTAATCCCATGGGGTTTTCACTAACAAATCTCAGTCGCAGCCCCCATATAATCTTACAATTCCTTTCTCCATCATTTTTTTCACTAAGGTAGTGTTTGATTGTTCCACTTTTTCCATGGAAAATGGATTTTCCAACTTTTGGTTGTTTGGTTGTCCAAAATTTTCCATGGAATTAAAATTCTCACTTACCTATCACGTCAACATTTTTCATGAAATCATGGAATTGGAATTCTTACCAAAATGGTGAAAATTGGAATTCTTGATTACTGTAGCGATTTATTTATTTATTATTATTATTATTTTGGCAATGGAAATAAATTCTAAGAATTATTGTAAAAATTTTTTTCCTTTTATTGACAATTTTCATGTAAAATAAAGTCAAATGAATACTAAAAGATAGATGATTTCTTTGAATTTTCTTAATTATTTTTGTTGACAATGAAAACAAATTTCATATCCAATATCAGTAAATTTTATCTTTTTAATTGACAATTTACATGTAAAAGAAAGTCAAACGAATATAAAAAACACTTTTATTTCAACATTTTTCACGTTAAAAATTATATCAATTAAATACAATAATTTACAATTTTCAGAAAAATAATTTATAGACAATTCAATTCCCTAGAATTCATTTTCAATTCAATTGAATTTCATCTTTGCACTCAAACGGATGATAAGATAATTTGATGTCAAACTAGAAATTGTAACAGATCTCATCATATGGAAAGCTATAACCGTACAAGAATAAATAATCCCGTTAACAAAATTCTCAAGAAACTCATTTAAATCTAAATCAATAAGTCATTCTCTTATTTATAGAAATAAGTGTAACTTCAACAATCTTGGCAAACCCATTATCGACAGTCGATCCCATTGTAGCATCATCCGTCACGTCATCTAAGAGCTCATGCTAACCTAATAGTACTTAAGAGCTCGGACAAACTACATACTCGGAGAGCAAATTATGATGTATCAGCAAACTGTGAGGCATGATATGTTGCAAATGCCATGTCTTACCCTGTATGTGCCTTACAGCTCATACTATTGTACACCCTGTGCTCAACTTCTTAATGGCATAAAGTGATTCCCACATGTGCCCCTTATCAACAAGGCGAACACTAGTGCTCAACAAGCAAATGAATGTGTAACATCTTATCTTAGTCGAGTCATTCTACCACAGAGATTCATAATAAGCAAGAATAAAGTCTATTCATTTGCTCATCAGTTTATGGATAAATGAATTACAATCTTGATCTTCTTAGTACACATTTCATATTATTTTTACATAATTTACCCATCCAATAATCATCAGGGTATATCAAAGTTTGGATTCAACTCCTCATCCAATCTTATGTCCGATTGATAGTTGATACAACCCCAAAATTCTTTCTCACATCACCACCCCCAACAAACTAATTATCAATTGAATTATTTACTAGTCATTCGCCCGTGCCGTGTTATTTTTAAGATAATGTTATCGTGTCAAAATGTTAAAGATTGATGAGAGATGTGATTTGAAGATTCATTGTGTCCCAATAAAATTCCAAACTATTAGTATGAAGGATGGATTACTTTTTGGAAATAGAACATACTAATGGAATTTCATATTGATGGGTTTGATAATTATTGTGACAATACAAGGGAGAATTATATTTAGATTATATAATCACAATACAGTCTCATTTGTGTAAAGGAATTTTACCTCTTCCATAGTTTCGTCCACCGCTACTGTAAATTGCCTAGAAAGAAATGCTTTCAAATTCTATATATGCACACACCATTTTATGGAAAAGAAATGATGGCACATGCACATTTTATCAAATCTAGTAGTTGCATTGTCCCAACCAAAACTAAGTTAATAAAATCAAACTTGACCTACTTTTTCTACATATAGAAACAACCAATCTATTCTGATGCATACCCTTGATCATATTACTTTAGGTCTCTCATATAAGCAACCACTTGTTC